CACACACTCTCTCTCTCACATACACACTCACTCACAAACACACGCATGCGAACAAACACGCGCATACAAACACACACGTACACAAACAAACACACACACACGAGTGAATAAAGCATGTTCACGATGAGCTTGTTTCTGTTTTTCAGGGTTTAGGTTCAGAGTCGACTGACAGAGGCGTATCAAATCAGGCTCAGTTCACAGCACAGAGGTAAACATGAATATATTATTTCACCCATATTTTGACATTTTATTTTTACAAACATTATTAGAAACATTAAAGTAGACACTTTACTTGCGTTCCATGCATATGAAATCACTTGTAAATTTCATGTGATGTGAACAGCAGTGTGGGCTTTGACCCATATACAGCTTTATGACGATCAGGTTTACATTTAGAATTTTCAAGCAGCATACTTCATACTCTGTATTACGGATCACTGTAGCATGTGATTTCTGGCACTAAAGTGAACAGCGGGTGCTGTATGTTTCCTCATCGTCTGCTCTTTCTAAAGGTCCCGTTTCACAAATATGAAAGGAAAGTCTGTGAAGAAGAGTAAGGACTGGATCATGGAAAAGAAGGAAAGACGACGCCGGCAGGGGAAGTATGTTTAAGCGTTTGTTACTTCAAATGTTTCACTGTATCGGCTTAAGAACGCATTAACTAGTGATCTGCTGCTTCCACCATTATACTGAATGCATCGGTTCCTGTCTTCAGTGGACAGTTCTTGTTTATTCACTGCTGACAGAGACAAGTAATAAAGGATTTGGAAACTGGAAACACTAGGAAATCCTTTGAGGAAGTTATGCCATTTTTAGAAAGTGCTCATTGTTTTTAGCAGTTGTTGTATATCTGATTTACTCTTGATGTTCAGCTGTGTTGTGTCTGTTTCTCTTCTCTCAGGGATGTAAGGGCCGACACGAAGTACACGGCTCGTCACAGAAAACCTCGCTTTTGATCCCTCGACTTCTTCATGTGAGCGTCTCGCCTTCACTGCAAATACTGTAGACTCTCCTGGATCCAGTTACGACTCATATCTCTAGTGACCAATCAGAAGCCAGAACTATGTGCTTTGAGGAAATATATTACAGAATAGTAAACCCATGTGGAGAGAGCCTTTTATAAAGAAACAATTAAAGGACTTGTCTTATAGGAGCTGCATGTGGATTATGCTTGAATTAACAGAAGCCGTAATAAACCAGTTTTCATCTTCTCAGTTGTGATTCTTAAATAAGCGTGCATATAGTTTACAGTGAACCTGGAGCAGTGCATTATCTCCAGCAAATATGTTTCAAAATGAGTTTAAAGGTCACTTACAAAGACCGTGTGAGTGCAAGAGATTTGGGTTGTTTATCAAGATTTAATGATTTGTGCATTCATTGCATTTGACATTGAGTTTCATGTTTTTTGCTGTGGTGCAAAAAAAGCTCATTTCCCATATTATCCACTAAAATAAAAGTACAAGTTTTATTTTCATCAAGACGAGTGTAACGTGACAATTCACATGCTGTTTGTTTGTATGAAGTAGTGTGCCAGATAACATCATAAATGATGAGTTTTCATCTGTGCTGTAAGCCTGAAGTGCTCTTTACTTTAAACATGTGTTTATAAGTTCTCAGTATGTAGTGTATACTAACAGTGCGCAGCCTGCGTAGGGCGCCAGCAACAATAACACGAGGAAGTACAGTTTCAGAGTTTGTAATATTTTCCAACAGAATAATTTTTTGTGAACTTAAAGCACAATGGCATACATTTTAAGTAAATGTATATTTTCATGATTTTATACCTGTTTGATTGCATTTACAAAAAAAAGTAAAAAAAAAAAAAGACAAGACAAGGCGGGTTACATTACATTAAAATAAAGTAAAGCTTATGCTGGCTAATATTACACCATAAACGAGCCTTAAATGCAATTTAAGTTTTACATTTTCTTAAAGAATTCAAATATGCATCAACAAAAGAGAATGTAAAATTTGACAAGATAAATGTATATTTTCATGATTTTATATCTGTTTGATTGCATTTACAAAAAAAAAGTTAAAAAAAAAAGACAAGACAAGGCGGGTTACATTACATTAAAATAAAGTAAAGCTTATGCTGGCTAATATTACACCATAAACGAGCCTTAAATGCAATTTAAGTTTTACATTTTCTTAAAGAATTCAAATATGCATCAACAAAAGAGAATGTAAAATTTGACAAGATATAGTAAATATAAACTTAAAATGAGAAGGGTCTCATTTCAGAGTCACCAAAAACACTTTTTCTGGCAAATGTAGAAGTTTGAAGATTGTTATTTTTTTTTTATCAAATTTGTAAAGTCAACCCAAAATACTTTGAAATGAACAGAAATACTATTAATAACATTTAGCAAGTTTATAACTCACTGGGTAATTATTATGAGTAATTTTAATAGAGACTTCAGCAACTTTGTTAGAAAAATTGTCACCAATTTGTCAAAGACGCCAGAAATCTTTCCGTTCTATATCATTGAACTTTACACAAGCAGGTAAAGACAATCAATTTGATCACCATTTGAAGATTGTTATTTTTTTTTTATAAAAAATTTGTAAAGTCAACCCAAAATACTTTGAAATGAACAGAAATACTATTAATAACATTTAGCAAGTTTATAACTCACTGGGTAATTATTATGAGTAATTTTAATAGAGACTTCAGCAACTTTGTTAGAAAAATTGTCACCAATTTGTCAAAGACGCCAGAAATCTTTCCGTTCTATATCATTAAACTTTACACAAGCAGGTAAAGACAATCAATTTGATCACCAATTGCATACCTTCTTGGGGGGGATTGGAAAAAAAAATTTCAGTCACTGTTATATATTTTCTGAAATATGAGTCGTGTTTTTTATCATCTGAAATGTGCTGCGTCTTACATTCCAAAGCGACTCGTATGCAATAGGCAATTAACGTCAAGCAACCAAAACCTGTGCATTGCATGCTCACATCTGTACTGGTGCAGAATGAGAGACACATAAAGCCTCACGCATTTCACACAGGCTGCTGGTTTCACTTTTGCTTTAAATAAACCTATATAGGTTTGACGTGTAAAATTAATGTTGTTTTTAGTGAATGTCCCTATTGTTTTTTTGCTTGTTTTATGTTTACGATTAAGCTATGGATGTGTTAAAGGAGCGAACATCAATCAAGATCATGCAACAGTAACTTTAGTAACTTGTGCATTGATTTACTTAGCCTACTTGCTTTTGACATGTCTGACCGAACTACAAACGTTCCAGTGATGTCTGTGAGAAAGAGATATTGGCTCGTGCAGTCTACTCATCAGGTGTGAATACTGAATGTTTAACATTCTATTAATTACACAGGCCTACATGTACTTCATAGACATCCCTAATCTCTAATAACTCTGCTCTGTTTGTTCTGCTGTTGCTGTTTCTTTGTCTGGACCAGTGTTGGGCTACTTACTCAAAGAATGTAATATATACTAGTTACTCCTTTCAAAAGTAATATTGTTACTTTACTTATTACTTTCTGGCAACAGTAATTAGTTACACTGCTAGTTACATTACTTTTCCTTCACGCCCCACTGAAGTTAATAAGAATGTTACTAACAACATATTTCTGCCTCATCATTTGACTAAAACCCACACTGCATCGCAGTCAGAAGTTATTACAAACACTCAATAGTGATTAATCGTGACATTCAATTAGAAGTGTTGTATTAATCTCATTAATTGTCACGTGTAGCTTGAAGCTAATTGTAGTTTCTCTGTTACCCATATACGATTATATTTCATTATGTATCTATCAAATCACATAAGTTTGAAAAAAAACTTTAATTTTCCAAAAAGATGTTTAATTATAGTAATATAATGTACCACAAGCTGATCAGAGGGATGTAATGTCAGAGTAAAGTAAAGCCACAACTTACACAACAGTGCCCAGATCATCTTCTTTCCTGACAAAATCAATATAATGCAATATTTCTATCTGCTGAATGTAACCTTTTCCATATTCCAAGCTTGCCTGCTACACTGGGGACATCACGTGCATGTGTGAGTCGTGGAAATTATGAAAATAAATCTAGGAATTATTTGATGGATTTTAAATCGGCGGGGTTGAGGCATCAAAAGTAACTATTTTACTGTTTTATGGATGGTAACTGTAATATTATTACTGAAATCTTATTACACTACTAGTTACTGCAAAAAGTAATATTATTAAAGTAACTAAGTTACTAGTAACTAGTTACTGCCCAACACTGCTCTGGACACAGCTCTGTTCACATTAGGGTTGCCACCTTCAGCAGGCAAAATAAGGGACACCTAACCCTGTCACTTTAAAGGTTGTTCTAAACCTGCATAAAGTCAAGTCAAGTCACCTTTATTTATATAGCGCTTTTAGCAATGCAGATTGTGTCAAAGCAACTGAACAGCCAGTTCTCCTCTGGTCAGATGAAACCAGCAGTTCAGTTCCAGGCTGCAGCAAAGTCACATTGTGCAGAGGACTCAACTAAAGTTGTTTCTTCTGTTGTTTTTAGAAATGCAGATTGTGTCAAAGCAACTTGAACAGTCAGTTCTCCTCTGGTCAGATGAAACCAGCAGTTCAGTTCCAGGCTGCAGCAAAGTCACATTGTGCAGAGGACTCAACTAAAGTTGTTTCTTCTGTTGAACACAAAAGATACTTTGAGGAATGTGTCTCAACTAAACAGCTGGTTGTAACTTCTATAGTAAGGTAAAACAAAAACAAAACAAAAAAATACTATCAGAGCCATTGGGGACCAGAAACTGTTTGGTTACCCACATTATTTAAAGTATCTTCTTTTATGTTCAACAGAAGAAAGAAATTATTACAGGTTTGGAACAACTTGTGGGTGTGTAAACGATGACAAAATTTTCATTTTTGGGTGAACTATCCCTTTAAGTCAGACAGTCCACCGTCCAGTCCAGTCTCTGCAAACTGTGCATTCATCATTAGTTACAGGACAGACCCATTAATAACTTTCCCATTCAGCCCTACGTCTGGAGAGTCTTGTGTTCAAAGGGCGAACGTGAGCTCCAGATGTTTTAAACCGTGCAGGTTTGTTTACCGCATGCTGCGCTCGTGTGAAAGAGGCTTTAACGGCGCACGTTCTGGGGCCGGTTGCATAAACTGCTTAGGCTAGTCTTAAAAAGTTAGCCATCTAATTTGTTTTCTTCTAGACTGGTCATATAGTCAGTTACAAAAACGTAGATTGGCCCAATTTTAATAAGAAAAATGAGACTGATTATCTCTTGGCTAACTGCTAGTTGGTCAACTAGTTCTTAAGACATAGTCTTAACATAGTGGCGATGTTTATGCAACCGGCCCCTGGAGACTCGTTGCTTTGGAAACAAAGACGCCAAAATCACGAGCAAATGAGCTTCTCTAATACTTCTTATGAAATTGATTTCATTATAATTGCTATTAGTATTATAAACAGTGCAAAATACTTATTTGTTTATTCAAATATGTGTCTGCCTTTGGACAAATCGTGTCCCATATTGATTTGACACGGGATGCATCATTTTACCTTTAAATACGGGACGATTACGTATTTTAAGGGACGGGTGGCAACCCTAGTTCACATGCTGTGAACTGAGCATTTTAATGAGTACGAGTACGAGTACAGGATACCAGTATCGTATCGGTGCATCCCTACTTTTCAGCATTCTGGCGACCAGGAAGATGGCTCTTAAGGAGTGTAATGCATGCAGGTGTCCTATTCAGCTCCCGGATGGACACCATGCGAGGTGGTGCTTGATAGACCCGGCTGTCAGCACAGTTCTGCACACAAGGCTCCCTGCCATGCTGACCGCTGTTCTTGCTGCTCTTCTGCTGCTATCAAGCCGTGGGAGCAACCTCATGCTGGCTCAGCACCCACGTGAGCCATGTCTGCTGATGCCTTCGCTCTCTTATGCCGAAGATGGTCTGCGGCCCGCTTGTGAGCTGATCTCCTTTGGTGCCTTGGATGATGACGCCATGTCCACCACAGCCATGGAGAAAGACGACCGGTGTTGCAGGTCTCTCAATTTTTTTCCAACTGGGGTTCGGGCCCATTACACTAGAGCAGAGGTCTCCAACCCGGCTCCTGGAGAGCTACCATCCTGCAGATTTCAGCTCCAACCCCAATCAAACACACATGAATCAGCTAATCAAGGGGTTCGGGGTTACTTAATAATTACAGACAGGTGTGTTGGAACTAGAGGTCTTCTCGGATCCTAAAATCTGCACCCGACCAGAAGAACTTCTGACCCGAACCCAACGTGCATTCATTTTTTTATTAAAAGACAGACCCAATGAAACTAGACCCGAGTCTAATCCGACTACATTTATTTTCGAACCCGACTGGACCCGAACGTAAACGGCATTGACGTGTGCACAGCCTGTAGTCTGTAAAGAAATATCCCAGTGTCCCACTGACTGATTTGGCCGCTTCTCCATTACATTGATTTATTTAACATTTATTTAATTTACTATTATTACTTTATATTATTGCCTGCCTGATGGATACAAGTTATTTCTGAGTTCGGCTTTCAATTGTGGCAAGTGGATTGGAAAAATAAACGTGATGGCTCGATAAAAATTAAATCGATAGCCTAATAAATCACTAGTGTTGTTTGCTCTGCAATGCTTTTTACCTCATCTCTGGCGAAGGGATTCTGCACACAGAAAACAAAAGCCCTGCCCTGCATGAACACACACCATAATGTAGCGAGTGACTTTGATGGATCTCTATAAGATGGATTTCTGTGTGCGAGGTTACAAACGTATGTTCCTTTTCTATGTGCATTTCTCAAAAATGCACTTAACACCAACGTGCAAGTACATTAAAGGGATCGGGTCCATTTGGAAAAAGCACATTTAGTTTAAATTACCCGAGACCCGCGGCAACTAATACCGAACCCGACCCGTGTCCGAGGCACTCGTCAAAGTTTTGAACCCGACTCCGCTCGGGTCTCGGGTCGTACCTCGGGTTTTCGGATCCGAGTGGACCCGTGACGATCTCTGGCTGGAACAGGGTTGGAGCTGAAGTCTGCAGGACGGTAGCTCTCCAGGAGCAGGGTTGGAGATCCTATATCCTATCCTATGAGATGTCTATTCCTGACATTTGCTTAGCTGAAGATTAATCTTCTCAGAATACCTTCGCTAGGTATTGCAATTAGGAAATCTCCTCTTTAGCACCACGTGTGTTGTCTGTGCAAGTGCATTCAAGCTGCACAGCTTTTGGCTGCTTACAAATGCCTAGGACACTCATTTTTGTGGTTTCGACTACGTTGTATAGCACTAAAATTGTGTTTGCATACATAGTCGTGGAAATGTGCTACGTGGAGAAGCAGCTGATTGCATGTGTTTTGTTCAGCTGAGCACAATGAATAATATGTAAACATGAGTACACAACGTGGCTGTCTATCCTTGTTTGGTTCCTGCCGAGGTTGGCATTTGTGCATCTACTTTGATGCCATTATGATAATGCTAGCGCGGCTGTCGTCATTAATTATTGATTGATTTTATTGTTTGATATGGTTGTGTAGCGCCAGCAATGCTGCCACTTTCATTGTGTATGCTTGCTCAAAGCAATGCTTGTTTTATGTGAGTTTATATTGGCTCACTCCCAGTTGACTGACGGTGTTCTGACAATTTGTGCTACCCGCTCAGATTGTGTTACCTCCCATTAAAAAGATAGGTAGCACAAATCGATAGCGACAAATGCTACCTATCAGATTGTGCTACCACCAGCATCTTATTCATGTGGTTTGAGGCATTTTTTAATGTCCATACCTACCCGTCCACACCTACCCTTACCATAAACTTACCTTTAAAACAAAGGTGCTTTTGGTAGCACAATCTGATAGGTAGCATGTTTCGTCGGTACACCGGCACTGATCCAGTGTTCTCGCCAGCCTCTTTGCTCTAGTGGTTTCCAACAGATCCGCTATGGCATGCTTCGAGTGTTCCTGTGGGTATTTGGTTTATAACCTATATTTGACACGCTGCTGTTCTGGCTTATATTGCGACTCTTCCCTCGCTTATTAGTCAGGTGGTTGCTGAAACAGACCGGGATTTTATACGATTCCCATAGCGTCAGCTACTGACGCAATGTCAAGTGAACCAAACATGAAATCTCTAGTTACCTAACATATGCATGGTCCCTTGAGAGAAGGGAACGAGACGTAAGTTGCTATGTTCCAGTCTCCAGAGTCTTATGGCGCATTTCCACTGCGTGGTACGACTCGGCTCGGTTCGGCTCGGCTTGCGTTTCCACTGCAGTTCAGTATCGCTTTAGAGTGGGCGGGATTATTCACATGTGGTTATAGTTGCGCCGCCTCTACTGCCACGACTCCTAAAATAAACTTTTTCATTCCGCGTCGCCCCATCAAGCTCTCTCTGGATCCGCTCCTCTGCTATCAACGAGAGGAACGTCTGTACTTCCGCAGCAGACAATTAAACTTTTTGGTTGTTTAAAAAAAGGTGCGCTCCTTCAAAACAGTTGCGTTCGATCCTTCGCTGGCTGTGCTGATTTAAATCTAGCGGTTCTGTTGTGTTTGTGTCGCAAGTTCAGTGACGCAGGTAGTGACGATTCTCTCCGGCCAATCCGTGATCAGCAGAGTTTACACGTCACGTTTTGGTAACGGAACGGTTCACTTGGAACCCCAACCGAGGTGGTTCTAAAAAAAGTACCAGGTACTGTACCCAGTGGAAACCCCCCCAAAAGTGAACCGTACCGAGCCGTACCATGCAGTGGAAAAGCGCCATTACAGAAGCAGTTTCTGAGACAATGGCAGTTCAGTGCCATGTTATATAGCGAATGGCTCCACCCACCTCACAAGCGCTCAATCATGATTGGTCTGTAAGGTATAGACAGGCTGAATGCAATAGGGCTTCAGTAATCTTGGAGAAAGAGATTTTCCCATAGTGTCAGCTACTGACGCCACGTCTTGTTCTCCTCCTCATTTCAAGAAACCATGGTTAATTAGGTAAACCAAAACGTTAATTAAATTGGGAACAATGTGGATAGGGCTGTGAAATACAGAAACACCATATTAACTAAAGTAATTAACACTTAACGTATGCATTTCGTTTTAAGACACTGATATATAGATTAGCCTTCCCCTTGGTGAACCTAGTGATGCTACAATTGGACTTTTCACGATGCGCTTCAGGATCACTTGGAATGAACGCTGAAGCAGTCGCGTTCGTCGCGCGCTGTAGGGGTTAATGACGCGTCACAGACTGGCTTTCAAAACGACGCTCTTCTCTGCGAGCGATAAACGCGCCACACTGACTCAATGCAACATGAAGGACCGCACACAAGAGCTCAGACATGTGAGTATGATTAGAATTAATTCAGTCAGGCGGAACTTTATATTGATGCTCTATGAAGGACAGACGCGCATGTATTTTATACAGACGACAGCGACCTCATATTTGATCACTTCTCAGAATCACTGATCAATAGTGATGGTTAAAGTTTGTTGTGCAGTAGTTGTAATTAAGGTCGTTGTGTATCGTGGGTGAATATGAGATGAGCACAATGAACACATGTTTATGCATTTATACTGACCTTTGGACGGAATGATGAAGTTGCTTTATTTGAGTTGAATAGACGCGGTCAGGTGTGTTCTGTTCTGGTAACAACAGCCATGTTGCACTGTATGTGTAGCTCTTATGTTGGTTTTTATTTAATTGTTTGACATGCACTGATTTGAATTGCTTACCACGGTAGTTACTGTCGTTTGTTTATTCAAATGGCTGTGTATGAGCGTATCATTAGAGAAATATGAATTGTTGATGAGGAGTTAATTCCATTTAATTGGTTTGTCCCAATTTTGATGGCAGGAAATATTAGGCTAGTATTTAAACCACATGTTGTAAGTTAGGACCAAAAAAAGGATGTGTTCTCAAGGACTGTGCCCAGATAAGGGTTTCTCTGCATTGTTTAGTGCTAGGTTTGCTGCTCCAACCATTCTCTTTGTGGTTTTGTGTAGCCCGGTGAAGGTGCTCCGTTTGTGCACTAGGCCTATATTTAAATTCGTTTTGTTATTTGGTTTATTTCCTTTTTGCTTGTTTGCCGTTTGTATTTAGTTATCACCCTCATTTGTGTCTGTGGGGAGAAAATAAACCACTTTTTGCACTTCATTCCCCTTGTCGGACCATCCCTATCTAGTTCCTCCCTAGACCATCGGAACCACGATATCTGACTTTGATGGCCATAAGGCTAGCAAGTTCAGTCACCTAAAAGTTTGCACATTTTCAGTATTTGCACACTCAATTCAATGAATTAGTTTTTACAATTCATCTTATTTTAGGCAGTTTTACAAAGAATGGTGCCTCACAAACCTCCCAATTTACACGCTATCAGTTATCGCAATCAGTTTCTTTGTGTTATTGACAATGTGTCCAACCAATCACAAGTTAAGTATGCAGTGCCACAGGGTTCAGTATTAGGTCCTCTACTTTTCTCCTTGTATATGCTTCGCTTATTGTGGTCCCATGAACGGCAGTTCAGTTTTGCATGTATTACACATGACAAGATTGATTGTTTATAATTTTGTAAAACTTTTGCACACTTTACTGCATCATCTCTATCATGACGTCCTGTGCTGTTATTCTACCCGGCTCCATACATGGCTCTGGCACTCCTGTGGTCAAAATGTTTTATTGCCGGATCAAAAGACTATTTGCAAACTAAGGTATCAGTGAACAGTTTTTTTGTTGTCGACATTGTTGATTGATTCGGCCCTAATGATTGTATGTGCACAGGTCTAACAAATAGCTTGAATGCACCGTAAGTCGCTTTGGATAAAAGGATCTGCCAAATGAATAAATGTGAAATGACACTACAACTGTTCCTGCAATTACTACAATGAGTTCATTTTTTTAATGATAATAAATCACCTAATAACTACCATAT